AAACAAGACTCTATGCATTATTATATAACATTATCACATCATTTCCACTGTCAACTAATTTCATATATATCATATAATCATCCATTGTTCTCATCAAGGAAATTAACACTTCAACTATATCAATTAAATATTAACAATCAATGGCACAAGGGATCACATCATCTTTATCACTCATATATCATGAGAAAATGCAATACACTCTGCAACATAGCACTTGATGGCACGTATTGTGCCCTACATTCGACCACCAGAAAGCCTCGTTGCTCTTGAGTTGAGTAGTGCCCAACATGACAAGGGTTACACCCGACGGGAGCACCATAGGGAAGCCCTTGGAGCTCTCATGCTTGATGAGGGTCATTTCATGCCCAACATGTGCGACCTTAAGAACAACCTTTACTCTCAGCCTTGACGACGCCTAACGAGCCCAAAGTGGCACTCGGCTTCGTATCAAAAACTTTAATTCTAAAGAAAATGTGAATTATTAACACCATACAACAATCATCCAAATTATAATTCAATTGGCAAAAGTGTTTTAAAAGGCAAACAATGCATACATCAATTACATACTCTTCTTAACTACTAACACATAACCATCATATCCCCCTAGGGTTCTCATAAGAACTCATAGGCTATCTAAAATACACAATTACAAACCAAATCATAAAATTAGAGTCATAAACAACTACATAACATCATTTAACACATTAAAAAGCAACAGAGAAGACAAAGACACATTTTTGGGGAAATCCTTCACATGCAACACATACAATAGAGACATGATTGGGAGTCAATCCCAATACTTAGCATACAACCCATGCCTAGAGTGAGATTACTCACTCCCATTTACCTTGATGAGCATTAGAAGACGAACATGAATTTCTAGAGTGATTTTGATGGAAGGTGGCTTAGTTCCATGCACGCCCTTGATCTTGGTTCAACAAGGAGACTCCAACATGATGGAAGAATGGTGGTGATGTTGGCGGAAGCACAAAAGAGGATGGTTTGCTCAAGGTTGTTTCATCCAAGTGTAGGATGAAACCTATGTAGGGTTTTGCTCTCTTAGGGTGGAGATGGGAGGAGGTTAGCTAAAGGCAACCTAGAAACTAGGGAAGAGTGGGTGTTTAGGGTGGTGGTGGTCACGCTCAAGGGGAGGAAGGTGTTTGGTGGGGGTGTTGCTCCTTTTGGCTAGCTCACTTCACTAAGGAGGGTGAAGGCCAACCAAGGAAGGCCAAGCTCAACTCACTCATGGTGGTTAGGGAGGAGGAGAAAGGAAGGGCCGTGGAGTTCCTAGAGACTATGGAAGAGAAGTTGAGGCAAAAATGCACACTCAAATTCAATATGATCCAAAGTATGTACAAGGTGATAGGCTAGGGTATAAATAGGAGTGCTAGCATCTAGGGTTTCATTTGGTGTTGCATTGGCCGAAATTCACCAAGCCAAATGCACACTAAATGAGATGCAAATTAACCCTAGATGCTACTTGGTGGCCAAGTTTGGCATCTAAGGGTTTAGGTTGGCTACAACAAGATGCATGATAAGTCTATGCACCTTGGCCCTCCAATTGGGCCTAAGCCTACCTAACACCAAAAATGTCCAAACAATGCCACTAAGTGTGCGTCACCCTCCTAATGGTCACGCCTAGCCCATTTGAATTTAACCTAAGCATCTAAACACCCCAAAATACAAGGGTAAAATAGGAAATACAAGTAAAATAGATCCTATGACTAAAATACCCCAAAATACAAGGGTAAAAATGGAAAACAAAATAAATCCTAAACTAATGAAGCTTAGGAGAGTATTAGTACTCTATGATCATGAGGAGAGTGTCCCTTGGTGTGTGAACACCCTCCTCCTCTTCAACCCTCCTAGCCATGGACCTAGTCATGGGGCCCACATGAGTCTTCAAGGATGGTCCTCCATCATCATTTCCCTCGAACTTTGATTCTCCCAAGTTTGAAGCATGCAAACATACATGAAAAAGAAGGAGTCATAAAAGAAAATCGATCAAAATTTTTTTTAAAAAAAAAAACTTAACCCCATAGTTAAAACATATTAACTATAGTTACCAAAAACTTTTCCCTCAATTAATAAAAATAACAATAACATAAAACATTTAATTATAAACCTTATAATATATTTGTATTCATATAAAAAAATAAAATAGTTATTAAAACCAACTCATTTAATTATAACAAAATATTATACTTAATAATTAAGAAAAAATAATTTTATTAAAAAAAATTGGGGTGTTATAATAAATATTATTGATTTGTTCAAAATCATTGTTAATCTCCTTACACATTTTCAATTTTATTCTTATACATGTAATACATTTTTAATTTGATCTATTTATATATATTGTACTCTTAATTTAGTCTACAAGACTAAATTATGAATGAGTTACATTTATAAGAATAGAATTAAAAATACTTAAAGAATGATGATAGAAAACAAATTAATAATAATTGTGTGTATAAAGTTAATTTAATATTTTTTTACATATAAGGATCAAATTGAGAATCAACTATATATATATAAAGACTAAATTATATGTTTAACCAAATTAAAATATTAAATAGATTTTTAAATTGATGATTTATATAACTTATGACTTCATTAATTTGGCTACAAATAATAAATTTAAATATTATTATTGAAATTACTAAATGTAGCATGAAAGCAGATACTTCCCTTTAATTTTTGGTTACCTAAAATTAAAGAAACAAAATGTTTTAAACGAGCTTTTCAAAAATTAAAACCAACCCACATAAGAAAATTTGATTTTTTTATTGACAAGTTTAAAAAAATGTAATTTAAAAAAATCTAACTTTTGGTTACGTTTCTTCTTTCAACTTAGACCGTACATGAAATTAAATAGTACAAATAATAAATTAAATTATTATTAAAATTATTAAGTTGGTCATATTTTTTTATTCATCCAGAAAATATAACTCTTTTATATTGAATCGACTCCTGTAAATGTAGTACTTCCAATAGTGATACTATGTTCAAGACGAAAATTTCACTTGAGATTTTTGTTAATCTAAAATGAAAGATAGTTAATATTTTAAATAGGCATCACAAAAAGTGGATTCTCATATAAGAAAAATTTAAACAATTGTTTAATCGATAATTTTTGTAACTTTTGACTGCATTTGACTATGAATTAGAAAATACAAATAATAAATTTAAATATTGTTATTAATAAAATTAGTAAAATCAAACCACCTGATGTCTTGATTTATTTTTTATTAAAAAAATTATTTAATAGAAGTTTTCATTTGAAAGACAAAATGATCTCATTAAAAATGAAAATCAAAAGTAATTAAGGGGAAAAATATCCCCTTTTATAACTTTATCTATTCTTATAAATTATTGAAACAGGTATAAACTTTCTGAAATTTTCAAAATTTTTAGAATTATATTATTAATATAAAATATTTATCAATTTTATTGATAATTATTTTTGGTTAGAGAACCTAATTAACCATCTTTAACTTCTACAACATTTAATATCTTTAGCAATATAAACCTTAAGCCCTGAACATAAACCACCATAGCTGGCAATGCTCATCTTTGTAACCTCCAAAACAACCAACAAAGGAAATAAAATAAAATAAAGGGGAAAAGGTAGAAACAAAAGTTAGAGGTAGGAGTTGTAACTTGTATGGTACCATCAGGTGCCTAAACTATATTATTTTTTAAGTATTAACAGTTGAGGCTTTTGATTTAAAAAAGTATGTGTCTCTATATTATGAGCTTGTAAGTATGATAGTACCCTCTAGGATGTTATAATAAATCATATTTTTTTTAGAATTATTTATATAACCAAAACCACTATTTCTCAACAAAGGAAAAAAAACTTCACGAAACTACTATAAATTTTGTGAGTTGGTTTGTTGGATTTGACATGTATTCTTTTTGTGATTACTGCAAAATTGATCTATGCATATTTTATGTCATAAATCAAGTATTTTTCATACTATTAATTTTATTTTATATTAACATTATTACCTTTTACGTTACATACGTTCTTAGTTACATATGCATTTATATTTTTTAAATATATTAAATGCATTATTTTATATTATAAAACATTTAATGTTTAAGTTTTTTCAACATTATATATTTATTTTAAATTCATCTTTTCACACTTGCATTGAATATATTTTTTTTTGGTTATTATATTATAGAGGTGATGTATCTACCATCACTGATGACAATTTTATCTTTGCCAAACAACTTGAATTGGCCACCTTTAGGGGTATTTTTTTTCAATCATATTTTTTTCATTTACAAAGACTCAAACTCAAAACCTTGTTGAAGAAATTCAAGTCCAATTCTACATAAAATTGGATGATAATTTAAAGAAGTTGAGTCCATAAGCATAACAACTATACATTGCATAAGGGACACATTATCTCTCTGACCTAAGAATGGATAAAGCTTCCTTATTTTTCTTGAGAAATTAATATACAGTTCAGGATCATCATGTGGGTTTGGTCTTAATTAATCTTTACATAATATTTAATACAAGAAAGAATCAATAAAACTTAATTCACTATAAGAAATATTACATATAGTGACATAAAAAAAGTGTCACTATAAGTACAATATATGTAAGTATATGTCTATTTGACATATAGTTACACACAATTTTAGTGTTAATTTTGAATGAGATTTAACAACATATTTTGTGTGTCACTATAGCCTATACCCACACTTTTTAATAATATACCAACATATATTGTAGTTATTGTGTGGGTAAAAGTAATTTTTAGTGACATGTATAGTATCACATAGGGTGTGTCACTATATATCAATTTTCTTGTAGTGATTACTTGTACATAGAAACGGGTTCGTCCCTTTCCAAGACCATGTAATAACTTTTTTTTCTCTCTCTCATTAAACTTTCTCTCTCTATAATCACATGTATTTTTCTTCTCATTATATAAGTCACACATTCTTCATCTTTTCTATCAACTGCATCTAACTCTCTCTCTATATATATGATAGTATCAATAGAAGTATCACACACTCTCTCTATATATACATAAAGCTCCTTGAGTACGCAACAACTTTTGTTATATATATGTGTATGCCCAAAAACTTTGTCTAAACATACTTTTGTTTTTGTATTTACTCTACAATCATTTCCATTAGTGTTTAACCATCATTACCTTTTTTGTAGGCTATTTTTTATGTGCTTGAAGGTTTTTCTTCCTCTTCCATGGAGGTAACACTGAGAATCTCATCTTTTTCTTTAGTTTTAGCCCTTTTTTTTCCTCTGGTTGTTTGGATTCATCATTTTTTTGCTTGAAAGACATGATTTTAATGTACAAGTGTTCTCCCACTTGGTTTTTGTGCAAATGACTCAAAGAAGAATACTAGCGACACTTGCTTTTTAACACTCTCTGCTATTAATTAGAATTTATTGGAAATCACAAATTTTGGTGGGACTTTTCACTAAATCGGAAGAAAAACTCATTAAATGAGACGCGAGACTCACCAAAGTTTATGATTTCCAAAAAGAAAATAGCTAAGAACAGAGAGCGTCG